CTTATGTCATCGTCAACTTGATGTTTATTAGTATGTCTGGTTTGCTTCATCCGATCACTTTGATACCTATTTAATCGATAAGTAACAGAACCGTCTAATTTTGAATAAATATAATGGACGAATATAAATTTGTGTTGAATGTAATATTTTGGTGTCACTAATGACTGATGATTAAATCTCTGTGACTTCTATAATGTGAGCAATCAGCTTCAACTGGTCTAAAGTTAAAATACTCTTCGCAAATTTAAGCTTAGCACGAAAAGTAGATCGTAATACATGAGAACAGAGAGCAGACAAACATTAGGCATCAGAAAAAAATTTCGGTTCACTTTGCTTTTCCAGAATTGTGTTACAGCACTCGTAAACCTGAAATTTTGTTCAGTTAGTTTGTACACTTCACAAATGCTACATATATAAATTGGTGGCCATTCTATGGGAGAAGATTTAGCCCCAAGTCAATTGAGTTTTTTCAGCCGTAATTAACCTTAATCATTGTTTATGATAGAGATAAAGAAAACAACATTTCTATTGTGACAGATGCTTTTCACCTGGTTACCGACTAATTCAATACGGGTGAACGTATACTACTAGTATATCCTTATCTAATAGAGCGAAAGGTAATTTCTTCCATCAAGAAAGTACTAATGTTGAACTGTGGAACTATTTCCTAGTCTAAAGCCATAGTATCCTGATGACTATGTACTCCAGAATTCTAATTACTATCACACAATGATGATCGTCTTCTCACTGTTTCACACAATAACCGCTCTTTCTATTTCAAGATGAGACATATAATATCAATCTCACATCTTGAAGTTCACTGACCATGATTAGCTCTGTATTAAACCAAGCTCACTAATGTCAATAGAATATTTCTTAACACTTTATTATTACATGTAAAACTCAGGAGACTTCAATTTACTAGCTAAATTCGATGTGTCGACTACATTCTGGCTGTTTTACATGTGAAAATCGAACAACTCATGATTTAGATCCTTTGAATGAAACATGCAATTATTCTTGAAGAGCGCTCACGAGTTATTTCATATTGTTTGATATATAAATACAATTACGTCACAGTTGTAATTAAAATAAAATTCGGGATACGTTGAAGTCATTTCGAGTGAATTGAATGGAAAAAGCACTTTTCCATATGTTGAACAGTTGGTTTCACGTTCATAGAAGACGGTATCTCGCTTTCATTTCCATCCTATAAAACGCGTTTACTAAAACGTATAACTAAAATTCCTCTCAAATAGCAGTAATATGTCTTATTTCTTTAGTATTTGCAACCACAATTTCAGTGTCATTTTGATGAAAAAAACTCATCAATTTAAACTGTAATTTGTACCCTCATGATATTTGTGTTAGCATAAGTATATAGTGAAGTTAATTATATATTTGTCTATCAACTTCTTGGAGTTATCAGAATTTAGAACCAACACATCATGATACCCTGTGACAACTATATTAAACTTTTGTAAGCAGTTGTGACTTTTAATGTCAACATGAGATGAGAATTAGACAGAAATGCACCCATAGCAAACATTAACAGATGTAAAAGTTGTGGAACACGAGATTCCCATTCATTGAGAGGTTCAATGGTTTTCGCTTCTATGACTTAAGGATTTATCACTGTGCACTGCGGAAGAGTTCATAAATATGATGAAACATCCGTCCACTGATCCTCAATCTATTATGCTTTCTCAAATGATGCCACTTTAAGACAAAAATTAAGCTCAAAATAAACAGCATTTCTAAGTAACCAACAAAGTAGAGACAATATAAGAACACTAATGATATCAATTCTTATCATTTTGTTATTTCTTTCATCATCGTGACAACAAGCTTCATTTCACCACTCATTAATATTCATTAATAAAATACATGTGTCAATTAAAGTTATTATTTTAATCATTCAAATCCAAAGACGAGTTATAATTTGTTTTGATGAAAAGTACCTAGCTGAAAATCTCCTTACAAGTTACTTCGTCCAAACATATCACTTATATGCTTAGATAATCAAGCGTGATATTATCACAACACAATTCCTTTCTCTAAACCTGTGTACAAGATTATATCAGTTCACTATGCTCTCTGAATGTAATTAACAAATTAGAAATACACATGAAATGGCACAGCTTTATTCATAATGATTTTGACTGACAGACATCATTTCTGAGTTAGGATAACTGATATTGGACTAACTGATTGATTGATTTAATAATTGTCATGGTTGAGAGAATATCATAAATGTTACAGTAATTTTATGCAACAAATTTTTAAAATGGACTTTAACATAATTACTTCCATTTTTAAGAGACTTGAATGAGCTAACAAAATTCAACTGTTAATTCATATTAACTCATTATTTTCCTATCACACGATTACATAAACTAAATCATTGATCCCAATGTAATTCGGTGAGGAGAATTATGCAGTGACTTATAACGCATAATCTACTTTTCGGACGGAATTAATATGCACTTGACAACATAACAACAATCTTAGTATAACTCATTACTTTGAATTTTACTTATAAAAATAAGTATTTAGATTTAGATAAAACAATAAATCAGAAAGACACAGACGACAATTTAATAAAACCAAACATTTGTTCAACTGTTTGGTTTGTAGAAATGTGTTCAGCTGAAAAACAACCCTAATCATAGACTGAGACCAGTTGATGAACTATTGAGAACCATCGAACACTAAACATGTATTTCGTTTTAATTTCAGCCACTTTTATGGTGAGTAATCAAAGTAGAGTCGATAACATTCAGGTCTTGCAATCTGTTGACCATCAAGTTATAATTCAGTGATTCGAGGATAAAATAAATAAAAATTCAATCGGACTGTTGACTAATGTGGTGTGTACTACTTGTACGGACAGATGTAAACAGTATGTAACAGGAACTGGAAGCAGAAGTTTTAAGAACAGAAAAGGAAAGTGAAGAGAATAAGAAGAAAAAAAGCAGAATACAGTCAAAATGGAAACAGGAATGGAAGAACGATGTAGTTTGTATGGGAAAACTCAAGGAAGATAAAAAAATAGTATATTTAATGCATGTTTCCATATTTTCTAAATAGTGTGTGATTTTTCATTATACATTAGGTTGGTATGCCCTATCCATGACTTCGTTCACTATTTTAGTAACCTCCAATGTTCTATCTTGATGTAACATGTTTCGGTTCACTGCGTAAATTTCAGGTGGTGATACCAAACCTATGACTTGAAGGACTAGTTGATTCATCAATTCACTGTTTTAGAAACTTTCTCTGTTAACGTAAAACTCTAGTTCATTGTCGACCATGACTAGTTCAATTAGGATATAAACAGTTGGCTAGTAACACTGAAGCTACAATAACGATTAATTTATGCATCAAAGCAAGAAAATTAATATCAAGTCAGTCACTCCCTTACGTTTTATATTGGCTCTACGTCCACTGACAGAAAAACAACGAAACCTAGAAAGCAATTTTCAACTACTGAAGTCAAATATATCGTATGACCAACGAATCAACGGGACATTTTACAGTATTCAGTTTTACTTGGAAGATCGGTTGACAAAATGAGTTTAAAAGTTTGGTGAGTATAAGAAATAAATGTCATGGAAGAACAGATACAGCAGACATACAAAGAAAAATGTCTTTACAACATTTAACATTTTCAAAATGATACTGTCATGTAACTTGTAATGTTTCCTGTACTGTAGCTCAAAAAATAACTAACTGGTAAGCTGGAATTTGGCTCAATACTTAAATCATAGTTTTATTAACTGACAAGCAATGTTCAGACGTGGAAGATTTTAAATGACTTTCAGTCACGAAAGTTTTTCATCATATATTTTGTAAATACGTGTACTGTTTTATTAGAGGAAAATAGGTTTTACTGTGCATTCATTCTGCCTTTTCATGAGTAATAACCACTCAGTCACTGGTTATATCACTAGACATCGACCAGCGCACAATCATAACTAATTTTACGGTGCACTCAGTGTTACAACATTCCGCTAGTTAATTTAGTGACAATGAAGTAGGTTCTGATGATATTACTTTGAAAAACTGTTATGGAAGAAAATTTTCCTATGGATTGAGTGTATGAAATTCTCGATTGTCAGAATCAGTTAATAGAATGCTAATCGATAGGTGAACGCAATGATATAGTGTGACCATGTACTGGCTCCACAAGAAACGTATTATTGACTTGAGCCTTCGAATAATTAGAAATCAAAGACAAGATCAC